TACAAAAGTTTCATTCTGATAATGCCACCTCCCAATTTTTTAAAAAGATTTTTAAATTTACTTATTTATTCATGAGAGACACAGAGAGACAGAGAGAGAGAGGCAGAGACACAGGCAGAGGGAGAAGCAGGCTCCATGCAGGGAGCCCGACGTGGGACTCGATCCCAGGTCCCCAGGATCAGGCCCTGGGCTGAAGGCAGAGCTAAATCACTGAGCCACCAGGGCTGCCCTCCAACCTTCCAATTTACATGCTATCATTTTCCTGTATTTTATATGTCAAGTCTTGAAAAGTATAAATTAGATACTATTACTCATTTAATAAGACACTATTTAGATTTGCTAACCTATTTACCCACTATTCTCTCTTGTATCTCAAATCTTGCTTTTCCCCCTTCCCAAAATGTGTCTTTTAGGAGTTCTTATCATGTTGATGGAAAACTGTAGTTTTGTTCATCTGATAATATCTTTATTTTACCCTCATATTTGAGAGATTTCTTTAAGGTACAATATTCTGGGTTAATAGTTATTTGTGCTCATAATTTTGAACCACTTTCTAATGATTTCTATTATTGTTGTCTAAACATATAAGATCTATCTTTCCCTCTCTGGATGCTTTTCATAATATTTTTTCTTTGTCTCTGGCATGCTCTGGTTTTACTACATTTTGTGTTAAGTATGGAAATTTTAAAATTTATCTTCTGTTAATAACCTTCCTATATCCATATATTTATGTTTATAATGAGGTCTACAAAAACTTCAGTCATTACTCTTAAAATATTGTCTCTCCTTTATCTTTCTATTCTTCCTTTTGAGTTCTTGACAAAATATGTGTTAGTTCTTTTCTTGGTGCGTGCCATATCCCTTACTCTCTTTCTCATATTTTTCATCTCCTTGTTGGTCTGTGCTTTACCCTGAAACATTTCTTCAGATACATCTTGCAGTTGAATTAACTCTTTTCAGCTCTACTTAATGTGCTGTTTAATTTTCTCATTTACAATTTTTATTTCAATAAGTCCTATTTTTTATTTACAAAAGTTCTATTTTGTTCCTATTCAACTTTGGTCACAAAGTTTGACAGTCTCTTGTTGCTTGTTCATTTCTATAATTTTGTTTTTCATTTCTTCAAACATTTCATAGTTATTTTATATTCTATATCTGATCGTTTTAATATTTGAAGGATTTACTGGTCTAAATCTACCATTTCTGTCTTCTGACTCTCACTTATGGTATTTGTTTCCTTTTGTGCTTAATGGCCTTTTATGGTCAAGTTGTTGATCTTAATCTTTGAAAATTTTAGGAGATGCTTTTCTCCAGAGAGGATGTGCATTTTTATTTTGGGAACTTGGGACTCCTTTCTAGGATGCCAACTCACCAGAGTCTCAGGCTCTGCTTCCCCTTCCTGCCGACTGGCCAAGTCTAGTCTTCCATTACGAGGCTAAAATAAACATTTGCACCCAGGAGAGCGGGGATGCCCTCGGGCTCCCGGGGACACTAACAGACACCTGCGAGCGCAGGAGAGTGCTCCGAGCTCCCTAAGGGCTGCAGCGCGCACGGCGGGGCCGGAGCAGCTCGGAGGGGCTCGGGAGCGGCTCCAGGGAGGGAGCTGCAGGGCGGGAGCGCGAATCCCACAGCGCAGGCCCCGGAGCACAGGGCGCCGGGACACAGCCCAGGATCCGGCCTCCCCCCGGGACAGGCAGAAGCCGGGAGGGCCCAGGACAGCAAGGACGCTCCTGCCCGGAGCTGAGCAGATCAGCGGCCCCGCCCCGGAGCCTCCAGGCCCTGCAGACGGAGAACCGGGAGCCCCGAGCCCCGTAGTTCCTGCGGAGGCTGAATCCAGGCTTCCAGAGTTGCCATAGCAACTGCGGCGGATCCTCCTGGGGCCCCACGGGGTAAATAACCCCCGCTGAGCCCGGCAGCAGGCAGGGGCAGAGCAGCTCCCCCAAGTGCTAACACCTGAAAATCAGCACAGCAGGCCCCTCCCCCAGAAGACCAGCTGGACGGACCAGTGATACTCCCCCGTGTTCCAATACAACTTGTTTTTGGCCACTCTGCACTGAGCAAAATGACTAGAAGGAAAACCTCACCTCAAAAGAAAGAATCAGAAACAGCCCTCTCTCCCACAGAGTTACAAAATCTGGATTACACTTCAATGTCAGAAAGCCAATTCAGAAGCACTATTCTACAGCTACTGGTGGCTCTAGAAAAAAGCATTAAGGACTCACGAGACTTCATGACTGCAGAATTTAGATCCAATCAGGCAGAAATTAAAAATCAATTGAATGAGATGCAATCCAAACTAGAAGTCCTAACGACGAGGGTTAACGAAGTGGAAGAACGAGTGAGTGACATAGAAGACAAGTTAATGGCAAAGAGGGAAACTGAGGAAAAAAGAGACAATCAATTAAGGGACCATGAAGACAGATTAAGGGAAATAAATGACAATCTAAGGAAGAAAAACCTACGCTTAATTGGGGTTCCCGAGGGCGCCGAAAGGGACAGAGGGCCAGAATATGTATTTGAACAAATCCTAGCTGAAAACTTTCCCAATCTGGGAAGGGAAACAGGCATTCAGATCCAGGAAATAGAGAGATCCCCCCCTAAAATCAATAAAAACCGTTCAACACCTCGACATCTAATAGTGAAGCTTGCAAATTCCAAAGATAAAGAGAAGATCCTTAAAGCAGCAAGAGACAAGAAGTCCCTGACTTTCATGGGGAGGAATATTAGGGTAACAGCAGACCTCTCCACAGAGACGTGGCAGGCCAGAAAGGGCTGGCAGGATATATTCAGGGTCCTAAATGAGAAGAACATGCAACCAAGAATACTTTATCCAGCAAGGCTCTCATTCAAAATGGAAGGAGAGGGATCCCTGGGTGGCGCAGCGGTTTAGCGCCTGCCTTTGGCCCGGGGCACGATCCTGGAGATCCGGGATCGAATCCCACGTCGGGCTCCCGGTGCATGGAGCCTGCTTCTCCCTCTGCCTGTGTCTCTGCCTCTCTCTCTCACTGTGTGCCTATCATAAATAAATTAAAAAAAAATTAAAAAAAAAAAAAATGGAAGGAGAGATAAAGAGCTTCCCAGACAGGCAGGAACTGAAAGAATATGTGACCTCCAAACCAGCTCTGCAAGAAATTTTAAGGGGGACTCTTAAAACTCCCCTTTAAGAAGAAGTTCAGTGGAGCAATCCACAAAAACAAGGACTAAATAGATATCATGATGACACTAGACTCATATCTGTCAATAGTAACTCTGAACGTGAATGGGCTTAATGACCCCATCAAAAGGCGCAGGGTTTCAGACTGGATAAAGGAGCAGGACCCGTCTATTTGCTGTCTACAAGAGACTCATTTTAGACAGAAGGACACCTACAACCTGAAAATAAAAGGTTGGAGAACCATTTACCATTCAAATGGTTCTCAAAATATACCCTAAAAACTATAGAACACTTCTGAAAGAAATTGAGGAAGACACAAAGAGATGGAAAAATATTCCATGTTCATGGATTGGCAGAATTAATATTGTGAAAATGTCAATGTTACCCAGGGCAATTTACACGTATAATGCAATCCCTCTCAAAATACCATGGACTTTCTTCAGAGACTTAGAACAAATTATTTTAAGATTTGTGTGGAATCAGAAAAGACCCCAAACAGCCAGGGGAATTTTAAAAAAGAAAACCATATCTGGGGGCATCACAATGCCAGATTTCAGGTTGTACTACAAAGCTGTGGTCATCAAGACAGTGTGGTACTGGCACAAAAACAGACACATAGATCAATGGAACAGAATAGAGAACCCAGAAGTGGACCCTGAACTTTATGGTCAACTAATATTCGACAAAGGAGGAAAGACGATCCACTGGAAGAAAGACAGTCTCTTCAATAAATGGTGCTGGGAAAATTGGACATCCACATGCAGAAGAATGAAACTGGACCACTCTCTTGCACCATACACAAAGATAAACTCAAAATGGATGAAAGATCTAAATGTGAGACAAGATTCCATCAAAATCCCAGAGGAGAACTCAGACAACACCCTTTTTGAACTTGGCCACAGTAACCGGAGAAGGACAAACAGTGTATGTTCTCATTCATTTGGGGAATATGAATAATAGTGAAAGGGAATATAAGGGAAGGGAGAAGAAATGTGTGAGAAATATCAGAAAGGGAGACAGAACATAAAGACTTCTAACTCTGGGAAATGAACTAGGGGTGGTGGAGGGGGAGGAGGGCGGGGGGTGGGGGTGAATGGGTGACGGGCACTGAGGGGTACACTTGACGGGATGAGCACTGGGTGTTATTCTGTATGTTGGTAAATTGAACACCAATAAAATTAATTTATAAAATTAAAAAAAAAATAATAAAATAAAATAAAATAAACATTTGCTCCCGGATAATCCAGATTTTCGCAGGGTAAATGGTCTGGACTCACCTTATACTTCCAAGTTTCTGTACGTGCTGCTCCTGCTCCCTGGAATAGGTGTCCTTTCATCCTCTTTTTTTTTTCACCTGATTAACTAATCTGTCTAAGACTAAATTCAGATCTGTTCTTCTCCAAGATACTTTTGCTGATAACCCCTAATCTAGGTTAGATGATGCTCTTACATGCTCTCTCAGAACATGCTGTAGCTACTTCTGTCATGGCATTTTTCACACTGTGTTGTGATAACCTGCTTACTCATCTGTCCTCCTTCATAGGGCTGTCATCTGGGTAGGGGTCATGGCATAGTCACACTGTTTCCTCGGTGTCTTGCACAGGACCAAGTCCATGGTATATTGACATGTGTTTGTTGAATAAATGAAAGCATTGCAATGAATGCATGAATGAATGAATGGGTGAGTGAGTGATGATTTTGGAGTGGACAATATGGGATTTGCAAAGAGGGTGAAGGATGATGAAGGAAGATGAGAAGAAAAGGGAAAAGGGAGATGCCTGGCATTTTTAAGCTGCTTGTTGTGTTTTCCTTGCTGAAGTAGAATAAAATTGTCATTTCATTTCATCAAAAGTTTATTGAGCATCCAGTATGTGCTAGGCACTCTGCTAGATGCTGGTAATACAAAGATGAAGATCAAAACAAACCAAAAACCAAAAGCAAAACCACTTCCTTACTTTTACCCCCCCCGGATTTAAGGCAGATTTGGCTTGAGCCTGGGAAGCTGGCCCCTCAGAGATTCAGCACCAAGGCATGAAGTGTGGCATGCTCTCACTTCCTCCTCACTTCAATGCTGTCTCCCAAGGCTGAGCAGCTTGTACCCCTCCCCCAAGTCCCACACCTCACACCTGCCTGAGCAACTGTCCCCTGCAGGCATGATCTCATTCTGGATGAGGCACCTGGGAAAGTTAAGGGAACAGTTCTGGCTAGCTAAGGGAAGCTGCGAAGGTACACCTACTCAAAGGAGCCTGGAGAAGTGCATAGGGACAGGGAGCCAGGAGGGGCATGCTGTCGAGGTAATTGGCCCCTGACAGGGGGGGCCAATTAGAAATGTTGTCGTCCTTGGGGCTGGAACAAAACCTGCCCCGTGTGGAGCAGTGGGGAACACAGGGATTTCTCTGTGGGATGGTGGAGAGTCAGGGCTGGAGCATAGGAGCGTGGGGAGGAGCCAGGGATGCAAGGGACTTGGATAGGCATCAGGGAAGAGAAGTTAGAACACAGAAGCCCTCCTTCTCTTTCAGCTTTTTAATTGCCATCACTCCTCACACAGTAGCTTATTGTCTCTCGGGCAATCTGTTCAAGAGGCGGTGACATAGGCACGGTCTGGCGATGCCATGGCCCAACCTCTCCATATTCTACATTTGTGTGATGAGAGTCTGCCCTTGTCCTGTTTCCTGGGATCTGAGCAGCTGGGAGCAGGACAGGTGGGAGTCTGGAGGCCAAGGGTTGCATCTTGTCTCCCTGCCATCCTGGGGAGCAATTAGCTGCCCCCTCCCCTTGCCCACGATTACTCTGCAGACTTGAACCTTACTCTCAGCTGAAGGAAGCCCAACCACCTTTCCCAGGGATAATGATTGTTTGAAAGGCTTGTTTTGTAAGGAAGCCAAGGAGAAGGCATAGGTGTGAGGGTTTAAAAAAAAAAAAAAGGTTCTTCACTTGATCTAGCTTTCTGGGTCAGAGGAGTGAGAACTTCCTTCTCTATTGGACTAGAGATGGAAAGAATGCTTGGTACTCCAGTGAGGGAGGTTTTGGGAGGAGGCCAAGCTTGAATCCTTTGCCCTTGCTAGGGTGCAGGTCAGGGGGTCAAAAGAATGAACTTGACTTCTGCCTCACCAACCGGTAGGTACCCAGAGAAGGGTGCTCCAAGGCACTGCCTTCTCAGTGATTCCCGGGGTGCTCAGAATAGTCCTCTTCAAACCTAGGTTTGAAGCCGGCCTCTGACTTCCCTAGTTTAGGATAGTTGTCCCTTTTGGGCAAGTGGCCTCTCTAAGCCGAGCTAGCAAAAAAAAAGTGTCCCGGGAACCGGGAGGGAAGGAGGGTGGGTGGAAGCGCAGAGCTCCTAGGAAGGGCACGGGATAGTCCCGGGGGTTAGGTTACTGTTGTTAGTTTCCATAAGACCCTGGGGGAGGGGGGCTGGGCCGGAAATTTAATAATCTATGTGGTCCTAAGAGGGCACAACCCCCACCCACCGAGAACACAGCGGGTGGCCCGGGAGCCAGCGGGACGGTCTCACCTCCTGGGCCCCCCCCCCCCGCCCCCGCGGTGCCCACGCTCGCCCGCCAGCCGGACCCGCGCGCCCGGGCGGGGCCCTCCGCTGGTCCGCTGCGGGCGGGGGCCGCGCTCCCCCGGGCACCGGGCTCGGCCGGGCGCCCCCGGGGGTGCCGAGGCGGCTCAGGCGCTGATCTCCACCGGGCTGGCCTCGTCTTGCTCGCGGAGCAGGTGCACGCCCGCAGTCCGCAGTGAGCGCGAGGCGCTGCGCGAGCGGCCGGGCGAGCCCGGGGCGCGGGGCGGCGACGTGTGCGTCCGGCCGGTGGCGGGGGAGCGCGCCGGGGAGCGCGGGTAGCGGCGGGCGGAGCGGATGGGCAGCCCGGGCGAGCGGCCGGGGACGCCCGGAGACACGGAGTAGCCGGGCGGGCCGGGCTCGGCGGCGCCCCGGGGCTCGGCGGCGGGGCTGTCCTCGGGCTCCGGGGAGTCCTGCGGGGACACGCGGCGCCGCGGTTGGCTGTGCGCCCCGGCTCGGCGAGGCCTCAGCAGGGCGCCCGGCGGGGACGGGGCCCGGGAAAGCCGCAGCGCGCGGACGCGAGGCCCCGCGCCCTGCCGCCCCGCTTCCCGCCTGCCCTGGACGGCCCGGCCGACCTAGCTGTAGGACGGCGAGCGAGGAAATGGCCCGATCCCGATCGGTGCCCAGAGACGGAGGCTTGCATCCCCTTGTTTGACCCTGGGCGAGCCATTGCACCTCTGCCAGCCTCAGTTTTCCTATCCCTAAAGTGGGGGTGGCGGGGGCGGGGCAAACACTTCCCAGGGCTAATCTGAGTGAAGAGGCACCGGGGTGGTGCGGCTGTCCGGCGCCAGAACGTGGCAGGGCCCGCAGCAACCCGCTCACCTTGTCCTTGAGGATGTACAGCGCCATGGGGTTCTTCCGCTCCTGCTCGCCGCCTCGCGGGAGGGTGTCTGCTGCACAGGGCGGAGAGTGGGGTGGCTGGCCCCGTGGGGAACCCTTTCTGCCAGCCAGCGCCTACACTCTTTGCTCCCCAAGTGGCCAGTCAAGGCCCCGCCACAACCTCCACCAAAGGATCCAGAATCCCTGGGGTCCTACCTTGGCTGCACCTTTCCCTGCTCTGCAGTCTTCGTACAGTTGGTGGAGGAAGGGGCCCTGCAGAGCTGGCTTCCTGGTGGCCCAGTTCTGCCTTTTCCCAGCAGCCCACTGATCTGAGTGACGATGGGATGGGTGAGTGGGTGGCTGGGAGCTCACCTTCTGGTTTCAGACGGTCATCATTCTGATCCATATATTCCAGGGAGTTTTGCTTCTCCAGCTTCCTCTTCTTCCTGCAAATCAACCCAGCATCCTCTGAACAGAACTGTTGAGTGTGAGCCGGAGAAGGCCTGGGGGGCAGGGGCACAAGAGGAATCTGGTGTCGGTAAAAGAGGCCTTGTCATGGGAGGATGGCGCCGAGGGACTGGCAATGTCCCGTAAGCTTTGGATTGAGTCACATTTAGGTTTGCATCCTGAGTCTGTTGGCTGGCACCGGGGGCAAGTCACTTAACCCATCTGAGTCTCAGTGCTATTATTATCTGTAAACTGCAGATAATCGTACTTAGAAGGTGGTTCATTAGCCACAACCAGAGTGCCCAGCCCACAGAAGGGTGCCCTGCAAGCGAAACCCCTGTTAGGGCGCTGGGGCTGTTGGGAGTTGGGAGCACAGGAGGTGATTCCGCACGCAACACATGCAGTGGTTAGATGGATCTCCTGGGAAGAGGTGCAGGGCCCTCTGCGGGGATAGGCATTTAGGAGACTAAGAAAAGAATAGGGCTTGGGGTGGGCTGGATCAAAGGATTAGGGTGCTCAGGGTGTGGAACTTGGGGAGTTACCCAGACTTTTTAGAGGGTTTCCAGCAGGCACAGACTGTCACCAAGGTCACAAGAAGGAAGATGCCTCCTGTGGACAAGATGATGTAGAGGGAGCTTCTTCCTAGGGAAAGAGAGAGAGGCAGAGAGGTGGGAGAGACTTTAGAGGGGCAGCAAGTATAGTGGGGAGAGCTCTTGCAGGGAGAAGGAGGCCCAAGCGGCGGGGCTGGCCAGTGGCGGAGCTTGCTGAGCCTGCTTCCCACCCTTTGCTGGCCTCCACGGAGAGGTGGCCCATCCCTGCCTGTCTCTCCCCATCTAGGGGCACTCCTTCTGGGATGTCCTGTCCCTTGAGGTGCCTGCCTCTTGGGATTTTGAGGCCTGAGGGTGAGCAGACGGGGAGACTCACGGTATACGGTGATCTTGATGGGCAGGCTGCGGCCCTGGCTGATGGGGTTCTCCACCACACAGCTGTACAGGTCATCGTCCTCCATGAGCACGCGGGTGATGGTGAGCACCTTGTGGTCGGGGGACAGGAGCATTCTCGAGTCATTGAGGAGAGGCTTGCCGTCCTTCAGCCAGGTGTAGCTAGGCTTGGTGCCATTCTCATGGGAGCAGTTGAGGGTGAAGGCCTCGCTGAGCTCCAGCACGGTGGTCGAAGCCACTAACACCTGTGGCCTCGAAATGGGCACTGAGTCCCAGGGGTGGGGGGAAGGGAGTCTGTGAGCTGTGGGCCAAGCAGCTTCTCCCCTCCCCTTCTTGACTCCCTGCCTTCCAACACAGCGCAACTCAACCTGTGGTCTGAGAAGCCCTTCAGGGATCATCCGTCCAGTCTTTCCCCATCATCCACCCATCTGCATTCGTTGAGCACCTACTCAGTACAGAGGATACGGTGCTGAACAAGACAGCAAGGTCCCTGCCCTTACAGACCTTCCCTTCACTCTCCTCAAATGCCCCTTCGAGATGTCTTAAACTGGCCCAGGCCGGAGCGTATTTCAGTTGGGCTCAACCTAGGTCCAAATGTCTGGGTTGAAGTATCTGCTCTGTCATGTACTAGCTGCGTGACTTTGGGCAAGTCACTCAACCTCTTTGTGCCTCAGTTTCTGCATCTACAAAATGGGGATAATCATATTAGCTAGGCCTACATTATTAGGAACATTAAATGGGTCAGTGTAGGTGAAACACTTAGAATAGTCTCGGGCACATGGCAAGCACTCTACAGGCGTTCGCTGTGTCCTATCTGCCGAGTTCTAATCCTGATTGTCTCACTCTCAGCTGCCAAGAGGCTTCTGTGGGGGTGTTCCCGGGGTCTGGCTGCCCCAGTCCCAGGCCCCAGGCCCGCCTCCTTTCCTGCCAGAGCACTGTACCATCTACAGTGAGGTTGATGGTCTTCTCTCCAGTGAACGTGTCGTCCGTGATGGAGATCTCAACCTCGTAGGTGCCCTCGTCGGCCAGCTGCAGGTCACTGAGGAGCAGGGAGCCATTTTCGAAGAGGCGGATGCGGTCTCGGTAGTCAGGCCGTAGGGTGCCAATGACCTCTGTGCCGATGGACTGTACCACGGTCACTGGCTTGTCCCGCTTCAGCTGCCACTTCACCACGGGCTTGTCGCTGCTGGTGCTGCTGTACTGCACGGAGAGCAGGGCTGACTTCCCCACCGTGCCATGGATCAGGCGCACTGGGCTGGTGATGTTCACCCCCTCTAGGGGCTCTGTGGACAGAGACCCATGGGGAGAGGGCAGTGTCAGGCCCTTGGCTTCCCACCCCTCTCCCCCATTTGTGTCCTCAGATGTCTTCCTGCCTTACCCTCTGGGCTCTTCACTCCATGTCAGTCCTTCCTTCTTACCTTTCGATGCCATCTCTTCTCCTGCTATAGCTCTGGAACCTTCTGATCCACCATCACCCCTCTTACTCAACCCATTGCCCTCGGTCCTTCTTCTACATGGTCCTCTGCCTCTGGTGGTTTTCTCTGTCGCCTTCCTCTTGAGGAAGACCTCCAGTTAACCTAACACTATGTGCTCCATTCACAGAAACATTTATTGAGTATTTCGCCTGTAACAAGTACTGTTCTACGTCCTTGGGATGCATCAATGAGCAAAACAGACAGACACGGACCTCAGGGTGAATTTGTCAGATTTGCTTCTTGATTGGGGATTGGGAAAGTAGGGAATGGAGCAGCATGGGAACAGAGGTTCATAAAGAAGGGAGTGTGGCACAAGGCAGTGCCAATAAAGGGGGAGTTTAGGGGCCAGGAGACAACTAGACCATTCTTCATTCACACCAAGAGTCTTCTCTTTCCTTACCCCAGCTGGATGTAGCACTTTACTAGGCCCGCCCAGGCCTGAATAGTACTGCAGATGAGTAGTTGGTTTTGGAAATACACCCAAGATCCAGCCCAACCTGCAACCCCTAAAGAAGAGGGATTTGGGATGAACAGAACAAAGTGGTTCGAATCAAGAGGCCTTGGAAGATTGGGCTCCACCATTTACAGGCCATGCAGACCTGGGAAAGCCATCGTTCCAGGCCTCATTCTTCTCATTTAGAAAATCAGGACATGACAATTACAAGAACAACTGCCTTACCAAGCTCATGGTGGAAAAGGACAGTACTTCAGTTATCATTGTGTAGTGGAAAGAACACAAGAGAAAGCATCAGAGACTTAGGCTCTTTTTGTTGACTTAGGACCTAGAAGAAGTCATGTATCTGTTTGGGACTCAGGTGAAATAAGTGGCAAACTGGATGTTACATCCATTTGTTCCCACTCTGCAATTCTGGAATTTTACCATCTTGTTGAATGGTTGGCCCATCTAGAGATGCATCTTGTATTTCACAAATCTTTTGGGGGCTTTAGGGGCCTGAACAGATGCCACTCACTCATGTTACAGGGCCTTGTAAAGCAATGTGACCAAATGAAGGTCTTCTGGAGAGGATATAAGTTGGGAGCAGGGCTAAGTTTAACTAAACAGACACTTACAGGTCAGGCTTTCAGTAACTCTGCACCCCCAGCTGCTCTCTCTCATCACTGCCTCTCAAGTTCCCTCTCTCTTCTTCCCACTCTCCTACTCTGCCACTACTGCTGTTTAAATCTGGGGGAAGTGGGACAGCCCCAGTGGCTTAGTGGTTTAGCGCCACCTTCCACCCAGGGTGTGATCCTGGAGACCTGGGATCGAGACCCATGTCAGGCTCCCTGCATGGAGCCTGTTTCTCCCTCTGCCTGTTTCTCTCTCTCTGTCTCTAATAAATAAATAAAAAATCATAAAAAAATAAAATAAATTTGGGGGAAGTTATGTTGTGCCCTTCCCTCCCTTATTCTTCTCCATGTGCTTATATGACCACATTGAACCAGGAGGAAATTAAACTAAAAGGTGAGTTGTGGAGATTAAATGTAATAAAACTATTCAGTCCATTTTTGGAATAAGTTCTTTGTTAAGGAGTGTGGTCGTCACTTTTGGAAGGGATCAAGGAAAGGCCCCAATTGCTATTCTTTCACCTTTCACCTTGTACCTTTCCTCCTCTGTATCATGAGGTCATGGGACCAGATAATCACAAGGGGTCTTCTCAACTCTGACATCCTATGATCCATTATGCCAGGTATGTTAGAATCATATCTAATTGTGGAAGAAACTTCAAATGATGAAAGCTGCCAGATGTATGAATATGATATGCTTGTTTGTTTGTTTTTTTAAGATTTCTCTATTTTAGAGAGAGAGAGAGCACATGAGTGAGCAGGGGAGGGACAGAGGTAGAGAATCTCAAGCAGACTAACCCCTGAGCATGAAGTCCAACTTGGGGCTCAATCTCACAACCCTGAGATCACAACCTGAGCTAAAACCAAGAGTTGGTTGCTTAACAGGCTGAGTCACCCAGGCACCTCTATGCTTGTTGTTGAGAGGAGTCTTGATTTGGGGGATGTAGAATGAACAAAATAAAATATTTTTAAATGTTTTTAAAATTAAAGATATATTTGTTCCCACAAAACCATGTATAAAAATGATAACACATAAAATCTAGTTCTGGGGATCCCTGGGTGGCGCAGTGGTTTGGCGCCTGCCTTTGGCCCAGGGCACGATCCTGGAGACCCGGGATCGAATCCCACGTCGGGCTCCCGGTGCATGGAGCCTGCTTCTCCCTCTGCCTGTGTCTCTGCCTCTCTCTCTCTCACTGTGTGCCTATCATAAATAAATAAAAATTAAAAAAAATATTTAAAAAAAAAATCTAGTTCTGGCTCCCAAATTTGGTAGAAGAGGTGGTAGGAACTAGACTCCTGTCCTCCCCAATAATTGGGATGCTACTAGGAATCCCTCTGGCTCTGTGTATCAGACTGAAATCCATTTGATCACATAATACATAAAATTTCTTCCAGCTTTCAGTTTCTGTGATTATTTAGTTGGGATTTCCTGCTTAGCAACTGCTAGGTCCCAGGCTTGGCTTGATTTAGAAAAGCAAGCTTTCAGATTTCCCCAAATAGGCAAATAGACTTCGGTATGTGTGACTTGAGGTGGCCCTGAAAAAAGTCACTGAGTTTCATTAAAGGCCATGGTGGTGATGAGCAAATGGCTGGGGAACCTCTATTCAGGACCCAGTCTGAAGCAGCGGGGTCTGTGCATGAGGGTTGTATATGCAGAACCGTCCTGGGGTTCAGCAACCCCAAGCATCAAACTTTGACAGTTCTCATTTCCTCTTTCCAGGAGGCTGGGAAGTGACAGTCCTAACCTTAAGGGGAAATGGAAGGGATTCCTCCTCCCTGGCCCTCCCTCGAGCTTCCCCTGTGTCCTATCTCTCCTATCGCATACAAGGTCCTACTGCTCATTTTGTGATGTCTTCCTAGTTCTGGTCAGTTCTTTCTGTCAGTTTAAACTTGCTTCTTCTCCATAAAAACATTGGGAAAGTGACAGCATATGGATTGCCCTAGGTTTCACCCCCCTCTAGGTGGGCACCTTCCTCACGCACAGGAATGCGGGTACGCCCACGAATCTCAAGGATGTATGTACACATGTTCAGAAGTGAATGGAGCAGTCTTTCTCAAAAGCTGACAAAGAGTATTTTGCTGAGCAAACACCATTTCCAAAAACTCTAGCCAAAATTGGAGTTGGTATTAAGTTCAGGGTTCTACAACTTTCAAGGGACACAGAGAACTGGGACAAGTGCCAAAGCAGGACACAGAAATGAGGAAATGGCTAACAACTACGTTCCATAGTGGAAATAAAAGGGACTAGGGCTATCTGACCTTGAGAAGTGATTAACTTAATCATGGTCCTTGAGTCTCTGAGGCATCATTGTGTAGGAAGTCTCTGTTCCCACAGGAGGAGGAACAAAAGGAAATTGACATCACAGCAAGATTTACCTGTCAACTTAAACTGGGCCATGCTGGTGGGTGGCCCCTCTCAAGTAGGATTTTGAACAGGAGTGACACTAAGTTTTAAAATACGAGAATGTACATACCAGTAGCCTTGGGTTTCCTTAATAGCCTTTCCCTTTAAGGAAACCATCACTTACTCATTTTTATGTGCTTCTTTATGCTTAGCAAAGTTTTCCTTTTGCCAGTGTTTGCCTTAAATTTCCCTTCTAAGAGTGTCAGTGAGACGGTGCCAAGCACACATTCTAGGTTTTGATCTTTATACACCTAGTCTCGCTAACACCACGGGCTGCTGTTATATCCTTTCTTATGTTTTTTTTTTTTTTTTTTGGTCTTATTTGGGTCTGTCACCCCAAGGAGGTCCCTTCGGCCATCACAGATACCCTTCTCTGGCTTTTCTTAAATTCTATTATTTCTTTTTTGAGATGTGGTGACCAGAATTTAATCTGTGCCACAGCATGTTTTTCTAAAAGGAAAATATTTTGCTTTCTGCTTTTGGCTTTTAGTATTTTTCCTAGTGAATGATGCTCTGAGAACAAACCCCTCCTCTGCCGTTGTCCTATAGGTGCACCACTGATTGCATACATAATGAGGTTACTGTGTTGGGTTCTTTTTTTCTTTTTTTTTAAGATTTTATTTATTTATTCATGAGAGACACAGAGAGAGAGAAAGAGGCAGAGACAGAGGCAGAGGGAGAAGCAGGCTCCATGCAGGGAGCCTGACGTGGGACTCGGTCCCGGGTCTCCAGGATCAGGCCCTGGGCTGAAGGCGGCGCTAAACTGCTGAGCCACCTGGGCTGTCCCTGTGTTGGGTTCTTATGTTGGTGTACTCTTGAGGCCTTCAAGGGCCTTCAAGAGTGTGAAATAATTTTAAATGTCAATCACTCAGGAACATAGGAGAAAGTCAGGAAGCAGAAATTGTGAAGAAGGCCCTTGGCATCCAGGAAGAGAGGTGTCTGTACTTTTTTATACCTACTTTTGTATCAACCTTAAAGAGTGTAGATGTTCAGTAAATGTGTATCTAGCTAATAGGTATCAAGATAGCACACAGATTTACCCTATTTTAGATCAGAACAAGCACTATTGTTTTTGTTTTGAAATTTTTATTCATTTATTTGAGAGACAGCAAGAGAAAGAGCATGAACAGGACAGAGGGAGAGGGAGAAGCAGACTCCCCACTGAGCAGGAAGCCCAATGCAGGACTCAATCCCAAGACCTTGGGATCATGACCTGAGCTGAAGGCAGACACATAACTGACTGAGCCACTCAGGCGCCCCACAGACATTATCATTAAGCTGTCAATTCACCAAAACTGACTTATAAATTTAATATAATATCAATCAAAATCCCAGGAGATTTGCTGTGTGATAGTGCACAAGAATAGACAAACGGATCAGTGCAATAAAATAGAGAGCCAAACAATAAATTTATATATGATCACTCAACTTATGACAAAGATGATCCTGCAGTGTTCTGGGGAAAGGATTCTTTTGGCAATAAATAGTGCCAGGCTATGTAGGAAAGATGGCCTTACCTCATATCTTACACAAATATTAATTCTGGATGGATTGTGGATCTAACTGTGAAAGGTAAAATGCTGTTTTTTAAAAAAGAAAACATAGAGATTATCTCCACAACTTGAAAGCAGAGACAGATTTCTTAAACAAGAAACAAGAGTGGTACACATAAAAGAAGAAAATGATACATTGGACACAATAAAATTAAGAGCTTCTGTTCATCAAAAGGCACCATTAAGAGAGTGAAGAGGCAAGATGCAGAGTGAGAGATATTTGCAAGGCATATATCCTACAAAGGACTGGTATCCAAAATATAGTTCTTAAACTCCTACAAATTAATATTTTTAAAAAAATTTTTCAGAAAGCTTAATAGAAAATGGGGGGGAGAAAAAAAAAAAAGACTTAGAACAGGGACTTCAGGGCAGCCCAGGTGGCTCAGCGGTTTAGCGCCACCTTTGGCCCAAGGCATGATCCTGGAGATCCGGGATTGATTCCCACATCAGGCTCCCTGCATGTAGCCTGCTTCTCTTTCTGCCTGTGTCTCTGCACCTCTCTCTCTCTTTCTCTCTCAAGGTGACAGGGTCTCTCATGAATTAAAAAAAAAAAAAGAACAGGGACTTCGCAAATAAGGATATCCAAATGGCTAATCATGATATGAAAAAGATACTTCATTGATAATAATGGAAATGCAATTTTAAACCATAATTTGATACCCTTCATACTCACTAGTATGACTAAAATGAAAAAGAGAAGACACAATTGGTGAAGATGCAGAGTAACTGGAGCTGCTGGTGGGAATGCAGATTGATATAATCACTTTTGAAAGTTGTTTGACCATATCTATTAAAGCTAAACACACAGATATAACTCAGCAATTCTACTCCTAGGGCTATCCCCAAACAAATATGTACATCTGTTCCCCAAAAGACAAGTACTAGGATATATTAACAACTGTATTGATAAAGCCTCAAACTAGAAACTACCAAAGTGTCTATTAAAGTTGAATAGAAAAAAAAATAAAGTTGAATAGACAAATAAATTGTAGTATATTCAGACAATGGAATACTATACAGCACTGAGACCAAACAATTTACAATTTCAATAACAACATGAATGAGTCTTACAGATTTGGTGTTCAGCAAAAGAAGCCAGATGCAAAAGAATGCATGCATATAATTCCATTTACAAAGTTCAAAGACATGCAAAATTAATCTGTTTTAGAGGTTAGGATACCACTGTAACCCTGGGGGAGGGCAACAGGAAATGAAATAGTAAGGGCATGCTTCTGAAGTGCTGAAATGTTCTATTTCTTGATCTTGGAGGCTGATTACATGGGCTAATTTGTTTTTTAAAGGTTCATCAAACTGTATCCTAATGCTAAATGCATCTCTGTGCACAACTCTCTGTTAGAAGAAAAAAATAGCGCCTACGATGTGGAGGTGATCTTAGAGCTAAAAGGGCAGAACCCAGGTAAGGGACTTCTTCCTATTGGGTTCCTAGAAGATGGAATAGTTCTAGGATCCCAGAGAATGAAATTTTGCAGATTAGATGATCTAGATTTATGGTGTGCCACATTTATATCTGTATGTCAGTATCCTAGCCTCTAGAACAACCTTGTTTGAATGTTTCATGAAAGGGGCTGTGCTCAACTTAGGAAAGCCTCATTTGTCCATGCTAGGGACAGAACATTGAAGACTGAGTATTTATTCCTTGCCCCCTTTAAGTGCCTGTCTTAAAAAACTACATTTCCTAGTCTCTTTGGCACTTAGGTATGGCCATGTGACTGAGTTCTAGCCAATGGAACCAGTGGAAGTGATAGGTACTGTTTATAGGCTAGTTTAGAGAAACTTTTTTTTTTCTCTCTCTCTTTTTAAATTCTCTACCTGAAAGAAATGGAGAAAAGCTCCAAGGTGACAGGGTGTGACTACTGGAAACACATGTCAAAGTTGATGAGAGGGACGCCTGGGTGGCTCAGTGGTTGAGCATCTGCCTTCACCTCAAGTCCTGATCCCGAGGTCCTGGGATCGAGTCCCAAATCCAGCTCCCTGCAGGGAGCCTGCTTCTCCCTCTGCCCATGTCTCTCCCTGTCTCTTGTGTCTCTCATGAATAAATAAATAATTTTTTTAAGTTGATAAAGAGCTTTATCAACTTGGTCCTTGAAAAGCTTCATGGAGTAGATTCCTTCCTCATCCCAGGCCTAGTCTGGAACTGCATTGCACTACTACATGGTTATCGCCAGGAACTTAAATTTTGGAATTTATTTGTCACAGAAGCTGGTATTTTCCTAACTAATATTGTGAGCAGGGCAGAAATTCCTTATAGAATTTCAGCTCTTTATTGTTCTTGAGTCCACAGCAGTACAATGGCCCAAGCCTGCACTTACCTCTTATCCATCGTAGGTCTTAACTAATATCCTATCAGCATAATTTATATTTTTTTGCTGTATTTGTTGAGTTACATTTTCCCACACAGAAAATCCTTTGTCATCTTTTGTTTTTGCCTGGTCACACTGACTGACAAGATCTTTCTATATTTTTTCTTTACAATTCGATGACCTGAAAGAATTTAGGGACCATGCTGACTTGTATATTGCATCATGTATTTTGTATTCCTGATTCTTGGCCTCCATACCTTTAGCTCTCTTGATTCCTTCCACTTGTTATAATTTCCACTGAGACCACTGTCACTAAGGCTAAAAGTTACCTCTGAATTGCCATTTCCAACAAACTCTTTTAGCTGTGATGTAATAATAATAATAATAATAATAATAATAATTGAGATATAATTGGCCCTTGTGTACTGGACCTTTTTGACATATTTGATGCTGATTCTCTGGAAAACTCCCAACTCTCTTGACATTCTGGACACCACAGTCTTCTTATTCCCTCTCCATCTCTTTCACTTCCTTCTTGGCCTCCTCAGTGGAACTTTTTTCCCCTCTACCTTCCTGTACAAAACTTAGGGTTACTCAATGTTCCATGTCCAGCCCATTTTCTCCTCCTAGGTGATATTATCCATTCCCATTGTTTTGTGTTTCATCTATAGGCTGAGAGTTTCTACATACCTCTCTTCAACCCTGACCTCCTTGCCCTCCACTCCTAACCCCACCCCCACTTTAGGCTATTTAACATTTTCCCACAGATGCCTCATAGGCATTTCAACCTCAATAGGGACAGTACACATTATCACATCCCCAACCCTATCCCAGTTGTCATTTCAGATTTCACATATAAATCCTATCCCCCTCTCTGGATCCTCCCACTTCCTATCAATGACTAGGTCCTGAAATTCCCTCCAAAATATTATCTCCCCATGTCTTGTTCCCCTTATTTTTATTCTAATTCCAGTTTATGTTATTCCTCTCTTGAACTACTGCAGTAGCCTTGTTATGTGCTCCCCACCCCCAAATTCATACGTTGAAGTCCTATCCCCCAGGACCTCAAATATGACCTTATTTGGCATTGGGGTTATTGGCAGATGTAGTAAGCTAAGACGAGGTCTGGTGTAGGGGCCCTAATCTAATGTGACTCATGTCCTGATAAAAAGTGGAAATTTGGACACAGACATGAGCATAGGGAGAATGTCCTGTGAAGATAGAAGCTCTGCTGCCATAAGCCAAGGAACTGCATGAAGCTATCAGAGAGACCTGGAACAGATCCTTCCTTAGAGCCTCCAAAGAAAATATGACCTTGATCTCAATCTTTTAGCCGGCAGAACTGTGAGACCATACATTTCTGTTGTTTAAACCACCCATTCTGTGGTTCTTTGTTACAACACCCCTAGCAAATGGATACAAGCTTCCTTTCCTATCTTATCCGCTTCCAGTTTCTTCTCCAACACCTTGCTGGAGACCGAGCTATCTGAAGCACAGTTCTGGCCCTGCCAGTCCCCAGATGAAAAGCCATCCAATACCCCTTACCCCCTTTCACTGTTTACAGATTATATCCCAGTTTCCCTAGTATGGTTTACAAGGCTCTCGCCGAATTCCCATTGGTGAGTGGCTGGGCTGCTCCCAAACACATGATGCCATTTCAAAATGTTGAAATGCATTTCCCCAACTAAAATGCCCCTTCCCACACCTACCTATTTTTCTCATCCTTTAAAAGTTAGTGCAGACATTCCCAGGACACCTCCCCTGATATTCCTCCACCCCACCATGTACTGCCAGAACCAGCTTTCTGGATGGGGATAGGTGACTTCTCTCTGATTCTGGGCATCCATTTCTACATTTTATTAAAATGATCTCGGTGTCTGTTTGCCTGGTCAAATTGTGAATTGCTAGGCTCTCCAGAGCAGTGTGTGTCTACGCCCATCTATTTAAAGATCCATCCTCTAAGGAGTTGGTAGAGTTGTCAACGGCATGGGGTGAGTTATGGGCAGGTTGGCGTTAGTTCCCAAAACCAAAAGGCTCATTATCTCCAAAGCGTATTTCATCTCCCTTGCTGTGGTACACTCAGAGAAGCCAGGGTGGGGGGTGGGGAGGCACAGAACCAGATCTCCCCCACCCATCCAAGCCCCATCATGATCCCTTGGAAAGAATGCCGGACTGGCCCACGCCAACAAGACATCCCATAAGAAATGGCTCACTGCCCTCTATCTAATGTACTGAATGCCGTGGGAGCTCCGAAGTCATGCAGCCTTTTGGGGGAGGGGCGCAGGGGCTGGGCGGGAGGCACACAGAATGAAGAAATACATTCAACACTAATGCCTGAACTCACTGAGATGCTTCCCACGGCAGCTGAGCTCTCTCCCCTCCTCCCTCCAACTCCCCCTCCCTCTCTTTTGCAAGTAACGGGTCCCCTCTCCAGACCCTTTCTTACCCTTCTGGTCGCCTACCTGTCTGGATCAGAAGAAGGTAGACAAAAGGAGCGAGGCTCAGGGCACTGAAGGCTCTGGACGGGGCTCCCCTTTCTCTCTTCATTTTGGGTGGCGTTCTCCGGCTCTGGTGCAGACAATTAGCATGATTTCTCCACTCTGGGCACGTCCCTTTGTACCACTCGGAGTTTCTCTGCCCGAGCACAACCCTGCCAACTTCCCTCTGAATACACAGAGCCCTGTGTATTGCTGGACTTGTTCTTTCCTCTCTTTCAGACCTGGCATTTCTAGTTTCAAAGCCCTACATCCCCAGCTTGGAAGAGGGTATCTGCTTAGGATTTAATCTTCAATGCGGGTTCTAGCCCGATGGATCCCATCAGTTCTCCGCCTGCCTATGCTGAGCCCCACTACCAGGGGGAGATGAGGATTTGGGCTCAATGATGGGACTGGGCTCAATGATGGGACTGAACTGGATCTTGTGTCCAAACCTATCCTGTCTCCACCTCATTCTCCTTGTTGCTGCAAAGGAGGGCGCATGCCAGGGACAGACCTCTGATGAGCTCTGGAAAGGAGGGAGGGGAGCTTTGAAATAGCCGGGGAAAGAGAGACTCCAGAAAACTGCTGAAGAAATGCAAAATCCCCCTTTCAATCCCAAGGATGACGATTGGAAAATGGCTCAAATTCTATTATTTTCATGCCTCTCCCGGTCCTGCTTGGGATTCTCTCTCCTAGCACAGAATCACATAGATGCTGGGGACCTCTTTCCTGGAGCCACTCTGCTCATTCCCCTGCCTCTAGGCAAGTTTCTAGAACATGCCGGAGCACACATGAAGGTAATGGTCTAACCGCCAGCATCCTGGCGGTTCTGTCAGCAGCTTGACAGCCTACTTAATCTCCTCTTGTCTCCAGGCTGTGATGAGGAGAAACACCTAGCTTCACCTGACCCCTCACTACTGTGTCCACACCTTTCCAAAAGCACAATCAGTGCAATGTGTGCTTACCAATTGTGAGATCATGGGACTGATTTACAGTCTCTTGCAGCCTCTAATTTCATATCTAAAAATTGGAGAAACAGTAGCTTCCTTAGAGGAATTGTTGAGAGGATCATGACAATTTCGTACACTGGAGTGCCTTGGAAACTCTTGTTAGATAACATTTTAAACTTTAAAAACACTGCCTCTTCTTCTTTTTCATTCCTGTAGTAATCTTTTTTTTTTTAAGATTTTTATTTATTTATTCATGAGAGACACACAGAGAGAGGCAGAGACACAGGCAGAGGGAGAAGCAGGCTCCCTGTGGGGAACCTGATGGGGGACTCCATCCCAGGACCCTGGGATCACACCCTGAGCCAAAGGCAGACACTCAACCACTGAGCCACCCAGGCTCCCCTGTAGCAATCTTTATATCTTGATGAGACCAAAGTTTACAGCTCCCCTCTTGGTTGTCTCCAAGCCTGGTCTTACTTTTGTAAGTGTGGTAGCTACCTCTCAAAATATTCTCGTTACAGACTGCAGAAAGCCTAAGTAGGCCAAGTTTCTAGAACTGAAGACTCATTGCCTAGCTCATCTGAACCAATGATGGGGAGTAGAGGAGATCAGCATTGGTTTTGAACTTTATGGAGAAACTCCAATAAAATATTCTGAAATACGTAAAGATTCTTTTTTTTTTTTTTTTGTTTTTTGCATTTTGCATTTCTGTGCCAATGACGTTTCCCTAGACAACTCAAGGCATCTGTCTGCCTGGTAAAGTCAGTGTGGTTTCAGCAGACATACAATGGAAAAGAAAAAGTCAGAGATTCAGCTTCTGACATCTACAATAGTATTTTAGAGTCAGTAGCAAGGCAAAAGGCTTGTGAGCTTTTGTAGAGGACAAAAAGATATTTTAATTTCCTTTAACTATCACTTCCACAGATCACAGAGCCACCTATGGATGGGATCACAGCTTCTTCTGCTGTATAGTGCAGATAAACAGCCTCTTTTGTCTGTGATGGCCAGGCCTTGAGGCTTATTGTCTGAGGCTAAAAGGAGGATATGATGTTCAGGAAATAGAAGGTCTGGAGTCTGCCTTTTTTAGCCTGAAGCACAATGGAAAGAAAAATGTGATAGCAGGTGACCTAAGTGGGATCTAACTTCTCAACATCCTCCCTCCCCCTGCCCTAGGGGTGGATCTTAGGCTCCTCACACCTGTGCAGAAGACGCAAGTGCCCCAAGGTGCCCACAAGCTCCATTGAGGGGACTCAGATGTGCCCAGGGGCCAAAGAACTGGCAACAGCTGGGGGCCCCCACCAACTGCTATGGGGGGTCAGCATGTAGCTCAACAGGGAGAGCGCCACACATGTCCACAGACACCAGCTGCCACCTAAGCCGTGCCAGGTATACTCCTCCCCCTACTGTCCTTAGAGAGAGCTGGGTTGGGGGAGGAAACTAAACAAATTGAGCAAACAGTTGTGAGTCGTTCCAGCAGTGACTGAGCCACCTCAAGAGAATGTTGAAATAGTTGGGTCAGAAGGATGGATTAATATCTAGCCTTTCTCTGCTGCCCGGAGGGCGGCGGGGGTGGGCGCACAGGTGGCAGGTGTGAAGGCACTGCAGCTGCTCTGTGCGTGCGAGTGTCCACCCAGCAGTCTTGCCATCTTGCTTCAGCTCTTTCTAAGCCAAGCTGACCTAAAGAGGTTCATGTCATCTGTCTATGTGCCTGTTTTCTCTTAAAGCAGTGAACACTCTGGCTGAAGGACGATGTCTTACTGGTCTCTGGGTCCTACTGCCTACCCGGGCAGGGTGCACAGTAGGTTCTCAGTAAACAGTTGCTAAATATTGCAGGGATGAGACCTGGAGGGGGGTGCTCTTTAGGCAACCAGATACAATAAAGGATGATGGTGGAGGGCAGCTGGGCCAGAGCTATGAGTGCAGGGAGGGCACCAAATAATGGCTGCAGATGGCAGATGGGGACATATATGAGGCACCTCTTTGTGGATTCCCAGAAATAACTGGGATTCACTTTGCGGTGGTAGAGGGGAGTTGGGGGGGTGCTGGTCTGATAAGCAACTGGGTTACAGACACGTAAGGTGAACAGTCAAACCAACTTGATTGTCCATATGTAACATCACGTTTATCTCACCTGTCCTAGCTTATCATCCTTCCATATGTCCTCTGTGGGTCTATCTGCCTCATCTAATTGTTGAGGGTAGGCTGTTCTTTGATTTTATGGAGATAGCCTGATTATAAATGTTACATTTCTTCAACTTCAAAAGTACATCTATACATGTCAGTCTGCATGTCCCACTTTGGTATCAGAAGATGTTACTGTGGCCATTTCCTCATTAGCCCGGGAGACTCTCCAGTGCAGGGACTGTGACTCTTCATCCTTAGAAGTCTACTCACAGGGCCCCATTCTGAACTCTGCTTCATGTGGCTGCTGAAGCAGATGATGGAGGAGGACTGCTTGGCTGACGGCAGTGATGCCCTTTCTTGGCCAAGACCTGTGCCCCTTTCTCCTCTGAGCACTTCACAGATGCATTTCCAAGGGCACTGTCCTCTTCTGAGCACCATGGCCCAGTCCTCTTGGCTCTGCTGCACACAGTTGCTTCCGGCCACTCTTCACTTGGCAACTTCTCTGGGGCTTCTGACTCCTCACCTCAGCACTCATGGCAGGCCTGGCCTGCTGTACTCAGACCTCTGTGCTGAGCACCCAGATAGTGCCCTGGAGGCTCAGAATGGAGCCCCCAAGAGACACATGCACGCATGCACACACATACACACACACATACACACAACCTGCCAGCTTAAGCTCGCAAGTGTTCCATCCCCAGGACAGGAGGCAGTTATACTTAGTGATCTTGAATAAGTCACCACACTCTGCAGACCATTATGGGAAATGGAGGCAGGGGGAGAGCTGGCTGGGGAATCATAAAAATGAGCTCAGTCTTCAAAGAACCAAAGATCTAGCAGGAACGGCAAAACAGTAGATTCATTCCACAGCAAGAGACATTTGAGATGACCTTGTCTCACTTCTTCATTTCTTAGGTGAGGGGATTGATAGAGAAGTTAAGTAACTTGCCCAGAGTTAAACTGTTATATAATGATCAACCCGGGACTCCTGAAATTTCTTTATAGTAGAGGCAAGAAGAGGTAACACACACACACACAAAATGGTAGCTAAGTACCAATTTTAATAACTCAGTCATTAGATTTAAGAACATCTCCACCCACCTGGCCTGTTTCTTTGTCTCCAGGCTCTAGCAAGAATGTGCTGCCTCTGATGGTACTACGGGAGGGGTTCTGGCCTTATGGATACCATGACATCAGTGGTGATTTTTATAGTTAGCACTTTCCTCTTTCTCTCCATTCACTTCCTGGTATTGAGTCATAGCTGTTCTTCCACTAGCTTGTAAATCATCTTTGGTAGCAGAACGAAAAAAAGTCTTCCAACAAATGGCACCAAAATCCCTCTTCGAGAGGGAATTGTCTTTAGCCAGAAAAGAATTGAAATACATTACAGGGAGCTGGAGGTAAGGTCTTAAGCATAAAAAGTCAAGGAACAAAAAGGTAAGCTGCAGGCTTTAGAGATAGGAATTTGGGGAGGGTGACATGCATAGAGGAAAGAAATCAATAGGAAGAGAGACTAAGAAAGGCACGTGGTGGGGGAGCTGAAGAAAATCCAACGACACAGCTGTGCTGTGAAACCCTTCCTCCTCTGACTTCTTTGAAACTTCCAGAAAAGTTTACTACATGAAATGCAGAATGTGTGTGCTAGCTGATGGAATATGGTGAAGGTGATAAGACAGCCATTCCCCTGACTAGGTTATATCATAGAAGACTGGGCTCAGCAGGCCAGAAAGAGCTTCTCGTCCTACTGGCTTTGAAGGTGTAAACTGTATGACGGCAAGTGCCAAGTGGAAAGGAATTGACATTGGCATCTCAGCACCAAGGGCAACACTCGGCCAACAGCTGGCAAGGAACTAGGGACCTCAGCCCTGCAATCACAAGGACATGAATTCTCCCAATGACCAGGTAGCCTTCAAGGGCACCCCGAGCTTTGGAGAGGAATGCTGACCAGTCAACACCTTAGTTGAAGTCTGGTGAGACCCTATGCAGCCTGGAAAACTAATATAGGCCAGCGTGTGTGTGTGTGTGTGTGTGTGTGTGTGTG